ATCCGTTTCGACCGTGTTCTCGGAGCCAAGGCAATCATACGGGCGGACACTCCTGGCGACACGCTCCTCTGACGCGAAGCCGCGGACGAAGAGGAGGAGGAGGAGGAGGAGGAGGAGGAGTTGGAGGGGGAGAGGGAGAGGACGGGTTCGGAACTGTCCGTTTTCCACGCGGGGGGCGAATTGGCCTGCATCAAAATGGATTGTTGTTTTGTTTTTGTTTTTCATTTTTGCCAAGGTATAAATGTGTGCAGGCGACGCACACAGCGCGCCTTCGGGCCGTGCAGCCCCAGGCAATTAAGCGCAGTCGGAGTGCATTGGACCCGATATGGAGTCGCCAAGTGGTGGGGCGGGGCGGGGCGGGGCGCAGTCCCACTCCGAGTTTATCCGGCAGGGAAAGGCAAAGAGAAGATCAAATTAAGGACGGCGCTTTTTTTTCGTTTGATAACTGGCGTAGTTCAGCCCTATTGCCGAACCGGGCGGCGCGGCCGGGGCGCGGCGGACAACGCCCTGCTCCCCGCCGTCCTCGCCGCCGCCGTGGTCGTGCTGCACGGACTTGGAGTTGCGCGCGAGTTCTTCACTCTTCACTGGGGTATCGATTGGAGTTTGCCCCGAGTTGATCCCTGGGCTCCTCGCTCCTTCTCCGGCCCGCCCCGCCCCGTGCGAGCCCACAGGACGCCAACTTGGAGTCGAAAGCTTTCGAGTTACTTCCTTCCGATTGGGCTGTTGTGCCCCCGATCCTGCCGCCACTTGTTTGCCAAGGACGTCGGGCGGGGCCCTCGCCCTCGCCTCTCTCCCCTCGCCCCTCGCCTCGCCCGCGAAGCTACGAGACTCGAGGAGCGCGAACAACTCGAAACCGAAATACTCCGGGCGCCGCTACCCGCCGACGGCAGCGGTTTCAACACGTCACCGTGCAGCCCGCCCCGCCCCGCCCCGCCCCGCAGGCGGGCTGCGGACTCAGTATCACAGTGGAGTCAGTGAGAAGGCCTCGGCCGCTACAACTAGGCCCTTCTTCTTGAGCCTGTTTCTCATTACTGAGCCCGATACCACGCCGCTCCAGTCTGAGCCGCACTGAGGCGCTAAAGGACGCCTTCCGAGCCCCCCGTCCTCCCCCCTCTCGCGACTTCCGCAGCCCCAATCTCCAGTCTAAGGTGTCACTACACTACATCACGGCGCCGCGTGTGGCCAGGAGACTGACTAGACTACCGAGGGGCCGTCCGTGAAGCACGCAACGCGTCGCAACGGGACGTGGTTCTCCCCGCCCCCTTTCTGGCCCCCTAACACAACAGAACAGCGTGTCTTCCTTGTGTTTACTACGCGTCATTCACGGCCACAGCAGCGGGCCTGGGCGGGTCGTGGACGTGGACGGCCACCACACTGCGAGACTTGTCCATCCGGTCGAGACGCTTGCCGACCATCTGCAGCACTTCGCCAGGCTTTGCTCTCTCGCGTCCATTCGGTCGCCTTTCCCGAACGAACGGCTTTCCCGAACGGCTTTCCCGGCCTGCTCCTCCTGCAATGCACTCCGCTGCTGTACACACAGGGCAGATTTAGTACCCCCTTCCCCTTCCCCCAAGCTGCCCGCCTGCCCTGCCTCGCCGGCTTCTAACTTTCGATTAGGAAACAACAGGATGGCTGGCGGCAAGTCAGCCAAGTTCGGCGCCCTCATCACGACTTGTGATTGGCAGCCCCTTGTTGTTGTCTTCCCCTTCACATACACGCACACACACGCGCGCGCACACACACACGGGGCTGCCGTGGCCAGCCTCCGCCTAGGCGCCCTTAACTTTAAGGGCGCAGGGCGCCTGGCGGGTAGGCAGTCCCGGACGCAGCCCTGTGCGACGGGCCTGCCTACCCACGCAGGCTGAACGACAAAGACAGCACGCCGCTCGCCACACTTGCAGTGCGGTTGCCCGGCCCTGGATTTGCACTTCGTCCGGGACGCCTCGGCTGTGTCCTTCGGCCTTGCGCTGCGCTGTCAGGACGCGAATGCGTAACGTCTTGGCGTTACGGATAATGCCTGTCGGCCTCTGGGCCTGCACTCTGTAGACTGATTGCGAGAGGCGTTTTCGTCACTGTCTCTCTCGCACCGAGAGGACGTACCTTGAGTGCGAGAGAGACAAAGCGATGACTGTCGGAATCAGTCTGCTCTGGTCCTGGACGCGCGCGGCCTTGAGGTAGGCGTCGAGCCGCATGGCGCGGTACGGTTCAGGAAAGGCAAGGGACTCAGCAGCAGCCGCGGGGGAGGGGAGCATGCTCACGGAAAAAGAACTGGGAGGAAAACATTTCGGACGCTTCAAGGACGAAAAAATCTCTGCCCTCTCGCGATAAAACTTTTCTTTATTTTGCTCTGGTCCTGCATGTTCCTGCCTTTGTCACTCAGCTCGGACACGATGGCCGCGAGCGAGCGTGTGCGTGTATGTAGTGTGTGTGTAGAGTGTGTGTGTGCGAGCGTGCGTGTGTGTTTGTTGTGTTATTGCTCCGACGGCTTTTATTCCTGCTTCGGGTTCACCCCCTTCGGGGCCCCCAAGACGAAGGCTGAAATGTTTTACGACCGCGTGGTGCGGACGGGGGCCCGACCGGGCTCATGGCGCACTGTGCCAGGCCAGCCAGGCCAGCCAGGCACCAGGCGCAGGGGCCGACACGCCGAAACGTCCTGCCGGGCTCCTGGAAGGCCCCTGGAAGGCCCCTGGAAGTCCTGGAAGTCCTGGAAGTCGTAGTCTGAGGCGTGCAGCTCCTGCGGGGATCCGGGGGAAATCTTTGGTGACGCCTCGTCCCCCGTCGAGTCCCCCGTCGCCTCGCCGTCGTCGTGCGATTCCTGGAGTGCTGCCGGGGGTCCTGGCAGTCCTGGCCGGGGCCTTAAACATTGATTCAGGGCCGTGTTGGCACTCAGGCAGCGCGGTTTTAGGCTTTCGAGCCGCACGAGGTTCAAGGCCCTCGTCCCCGGGTCCTCGCGTCCTCGGTGGCGGCCGGCCGTTCAAACGGCACTGCAGCGGGCCGCGGCAGACGGATGCCGATTTCGTCGCTCTGTCTCTCTCATGGGGCCTTCCGCACAGGTGCGAGTGAGACAGTGCAGCGGACTGCAGCTCGGCGGCCCATTAGAGCCAAGGCCGGTAATCGCATCATGGGCATAAGCAGCATAAGCGGCATAAGCCCCGGTCCGGTCCAAGCGCTGCCGGCCGCACCGCGCCACCGGCCTGCCGCCTGCCCTGCCGCCTTCCACCGCCTGCTGCAGCCTGGCGGCCTGGCGCACGCATCGCCGGAGATTGGTTTTGATACCGTGTACCGGTTCCATCAGCATAAGCACGCGCGCATCACCCGGCCAGAGAGGGAGAGAGAGGAGGGGAGGAAAGGAGTGGGGAAAGGAATGGCATCGCACGCCGCGGACGCTTTCCGCCTTGACATCCGCCGCGGAGCCTCTCTGTCTCCCTCGCCCTCGCGGAGAGTTCCGGCGGAGTGAGAGAGAGGCGGAGTCTCCGGAGGGTCGGAATCGGCCGCATCGGCCCGAACTCCATTACGGCCGCGAGTGGGCCTGGAGCCGCTCCAGTGGTGCCGGCATGGAGCTAGTGCCCCTATGCCGGCCAGCCTAGGCCAGCCTAGGCCAGCCTAGGCGGCCCGATCGGCCGGATCGCGTGGAACATCGTCTTTATCGCACCTGGAACAATAAAGGCGAGGAATGGGCGCTGCAGTGCCGGGCCGCCGGGCCGGGCCGCCGTCCAGGGCCGTCCGCAACGACGGGGCCAAACCTGATTTCCGCGGGCTGGCCCACACTAAGCAAGTGGCGTTGTTTGACAAGATGGTTAGATAAATTTTGAAAGTGACTGGCTTGCACGCCCGCTGGTCTCGACAGGGTCGTTCTAGAAGTGTTTCTACGGCCCAGACTTGACGCAGGACGAGTATGCATATATCACATCCTCAACGTCAAAGTGAAAACAAGAAGCCGGGACATAAATACAACCTTTATCTCTAGCTTAAGACAATTCTGTCCAGAAAAGGAAATGTCAAATAGCAAGGCCCATTCATGGCAGAAACTTTCTTTTAAGACGTTACAGGAAGAGCAGGGTCCAAAACTTCAACTTCAAAATTTTCTTTGTTGCAAAAATAGAGTGCTTCCAAAGCTAGAAAATCAATTTCCGCCGAGTTTACAAGCACCGTGCAGAGGTGCTGCTAAATTCCGCCGCGCTCCCGTTCCGTCACACGGTGACTCGTCCTGACAGGAAACATAAACCAGAGCCGCACCATGCACCAGGACACCCGTGCCATCCCTGGCACTAGACGGGCAAACTAGTAACCCAGGCAGTTGATGACGTTGTAGCTGGCACGCTGGCACTGCCACTTCATGTCAGGCAATACAAAAGGCTGCGTTGCCGGAGTGCCAGCGGAGTGCGGAGCGCGCGAGGAGCGTCAAGTGTGGTGGGGCACGGGGCGTGAGGCCGTGGGGCCGTGGTGTGGGGTGTGCCGATCCAGCACTTCGTAAACCACGGCTGGCCGAGCCCAGAGCCCCACATAGCTCTGCCTGCTCTGCCAGGCCCTGCCAACGCCCCGGCTAGGCCACTGCCAGGGCACTGCCAGGGCAGAGCAATTCTTGTCGTGATCCTGGAAACGCGGCCCACAGCAGGCGCCGCGAGTCTCTCCAGCTAAAGCACAGGCCTCAGCTTCTTCCAAGAGGTGTTGGCGGTTTTCCGGACTGCAAGGCGCGACTATGTTTGACCTCATTGAACTGGACCAAATCTCCACATAAACCGAAGTACAAGCCAAGGCCTAATAGGGCAGCGAGCAGCCGAACCACAACAACCGAACGGCGCGCCATTTGACGCGAGCCGAGCAGAGCCGAGCCGAGCGGCGTTCGGCTGCGAAGCAACAGCGCGTCGTGCGCTCGGCTCGGCTTCGGGCCGCCCCTCCCGCCGCCCCCTGGCCCTGTTCGTGCTGGTCGGCAGCAGCGGCAGCAGCCGGCAAGCCGGAGCTGGCAGCCAGCAACCCGTCCGCGTCCGCCCCGCGACCCGCGACTCTGTTTACCTGCAGCGCTCGGCTCGGCAACGTCTCGTCGCGTCGCCGCGCGGAGTTCGTTACAAAAGTCGCGTCGCGTCGTCGTCGCGCACCTCACCGAGGTGCAGATAACGCTCTTATCGGCGGACATCAGCTCCTCCCCGGTGCAGACGAGAAGGTCCTGCCTGCCCCGCATCGCAGCGGCCAACCCGCGGACGGGTACCCGTCGGATACCTTGGATACTACTCGCCACCCAGGCCGACCTAACCTCAACAACAGTGCAAGCCAGTGGTGCCAAGTTGTGAATCAAAGTGAAGGCTTAGCCCCGTTGATCCGGTGTGCCTGTAGAGTCGCGGATGACTTGGTCATTCCCCTTGTGATCGTGTGCTAGTGCTGCGGACGTGTGTGTGTGTGTGTGTGCCCGTGAAAGTGAGTGTCGTTCAGTGCAGTGTATACGATGGCCACAAAAGGGTTTTAGACCGAGCGGGCCGTCGTCGTAGGGAGTTTGTCGGATTTTTCGCCTCCGCGCCTGGATTATCCCCCATTCACCATCTTTCGCTCAAAGAAGAAGCAGGACTGCTTGTCGTCCGGGATGCGGCGACTTAGTGGTAAGTTGTGTGTGTGTGTGTGTGTGTGTGTGTGTGTGTGTGTGTGTGTGTGTGTGTGTGTATGCGTGTGAGTGCAGCGCCGCGGCGCAGGGAATCCGTTGGCTCGGCCGTGTATGGAAGGCTGCAGACTGATTCCGAGAGTCGTTTTGGTCGCTCTGTCTCTCTCACGTCTCTACGAGATGCCCCACGAGTGCGAGAGAGACAGAATGACCGATAGGACTCTCGGAATCAGTGTGCTGGAAGGGCTCCGAACCGGTTCACTTGCACGCCGCGGCCTGTAGGGACAACCACGCGACGCGTTCGAAAATGGACCGAAAATGGTGGCGGGCGGGGCACTCTTTGGGGCCTGGGGGCACGGTGGCGGTATCAGCCCGGGCCTAGCACCGGGACCACCGGGACCAGGGCGGGCTGACGAGCCTGACGGCGGCACGCGGCACGAACGCCCCGCCATCTCCGATACTATGATGCGATCCGATTGACAAGCATCACTTCGGCAGCACGATACCGGAGCGGGCCGATGTGCCCCCCCCCTTCCCCTTGACGGTGGAGTGACAGGACGCCCCTCGGCCAATCCCCGACGTGTCGCCGCTTCGTGTCGGTTCATTTTTTATCCGTCCGCCCCCGCCGCCGCGTTTTGCCCGGGCGGCCGGGGCGGCGGTTCGAACCGCGCATGCCAATATCGCGGGGCCGAGGCGTAAGCCACCGCGCCACGGCGGCGCGCGACGTCGCCCGCGTTGCGCCAGCGGTTTTGCAAGCACGCCGCGCGGCCCACCAACAAAAAGGGGCGAAAATGGGCTTCGCGGCGGTCCAGGACTCCAGGACGCCGGGGCTCCAGGACGTCGTTATGGCGTGAAAGTGTGGCGGACACCTCGGCGCGCTGTGGCTGTGACAAGGCAGAAGTCACGGGGCGCTGCCTCGCTGCTTGCGCTGCGCCGGAAGGCTGCAGGCTGCCGCACTGTAAGGCAGGGCGCTGCTGTTTTTGCTCCGCTTCGATGGACGTCGCCTTTCTTCCGTGGCACCCGAGTGGAATGCTTGCCTGTCTGTCTGCCTGTCCGCCCGTCTGTCCGTCCGACTCAGTCAGTCAGTCTCTCGTTCATTACGGTCCGCCGCAGCCACGTGAGGTAATTCAAGCTTCTTTCCTGTCGGCGGCCGGGCAGGGCATGGCCCCTGCAGACCGATCCCGACAGCCGTTTTCGTCGCTGTCTCGCTCGCACTCGAGGGGCGTCACGTAGTGGTGCGAGGGAGACGGGGCGGCGAAAACGACTCTTGGAATCAGTCTGCAGCCCGGCGCCCTGGCCCGCTTACGGACGGCCCCGCCTCGCCCCGCGCAGCGCAGCGCCGTCAAGGCTCGGGTGCTGTACGTAGTACGCACGGCGCTGATAAGCCACCGGCCGCGTTCGAAAGCCGCCGTCGGCGTCCGCGCGTCCTCACGCGTTTTTCGCTTTCGGAGACGGTCGCGTTGCCGCGCTGCGGTAAAGCGCCCAGATGCCCCCGCCTGCCTCGCCACGCCCCGGTCGTCATGTGGCTTTCCAACGCGGAAGATAACCTCGCGGCCGGGCTGCAGACTGATTCCGAGAGTCGTCGCTCTGTCTCCCTCGCACCTATGCAGGCGCCCCACGAGTGCGAGAGAGCGACGAGAACGACTCTGCTGGGCTGGGCGACGGCGACGGCACGGGCCGAACGCGGTGTTCGACGAGCTGCTGCTATCGGGGCCGCCACCGCCGCGACCGCCGGCCGACCTTGCCGAGAAACACTGGGATTTAATAAGGCGCGGCCCGGACCGAACGGCGGAACCGCGGAACGAGGGCATCGGCGCGAAGCGCGAAGAACGCCCCGATAAAAACGCGTCGCCGAGTCCGCGAGTGCGCCGCGCTGTTGGCCGGCTGGCCGGCCTGCCTGTGGCTCGGCCTGTGGCCGCTGCTTGATTGGCGTTCGCCCCATTCGTCGACCTCTTGTGCAACGAGAGGCGCAACGCGTCCACCGCACTGCCGGCAGAAAAAACGCGGCCAAATAGTTCTTCGGAACGCGGCTGGGAAAAAAAGGCGCGATTGGGTGCAGCGGGCCGAGTTGGGCTGCTGCACGCACTGCTTGGCGGCGTCCGGGGCCACCGCGTCCACGTCGGCGACGTCGGCCAGCAGACTCATTCCGAGAGCCGTCGCTCTGTCTCTCTCGCACCTTTTCAGGACGCCCCTCGAGTGCGAGAGAGACAGCGACGAAAACGACTCGGCCTGCATCACCTGATTGGGCCCCGAACGAGGCCCAGGCCTGCCAACTGCTCGTGATGACGTGACGCGCGCGTGATTAGCGCACCTGGTCATGCGCGCTCGCGCACTTGCTCGCTTGCACCCAAACACAGCCGCCGCGGTGGCGGTCGTGCGGTCCGCCAAGGTGGCCGTCTGTCTGTCTCTCTCTGGTTCTCACCGCGCGTGTGGGAGGGACGGAGAACGCGACGCGTTTCCGGGCGCAGCCTGCGCAGCCGGCATGGCCGCGGGCCGTCCGCTCGCCCGGTCTGTCTGCCTGTCCGTCTCCCCGGCCGAGGCGGCCGATGAGGCGGCCGAGCCCCGTTGTTTGGTGCCTCGTCCGACGGGTACCTCCGACTGCTACCTTCCCCCTTCCCCCTCCCCCTGCCCCCGGACCCGCTACGGCCGCGGGAAGGTCGACGAGCGCTGCAGGGCGTGGCGTGGCGTGGCGTGGCGCGGCGTGGGGTACGTGGAGCGAGTTGTTTGAGGCGTCTCGCCGGGACGCCGGGGCTCCGGGACTCCGGGAACGAGTAAAGTGACTCGGCGAGTGGAGTGACCCGCCCAATGCAGCCGAACGATGCTGGCAGCGTGGCGGGGGGACGGGGGGACGACGATTCGGTCGAGCTTTTTGCACCCGACTGAAACAAAATCAAGTGGAGGACGCTGTGAGGGAGAAAGAGGAAAAAAGAGCGAGGAGACTTTTTCTTTCGGCATCGTTTTGTCGAGACCGGGTAAACGATTCGCGCGTTGCGAGTTTACAGTTCGCCGTGTAGACGCCCAGCCCCCAGCCCGCACGGCTGCAGCGGCGTGGTGACGGCGTAGCCTGGCCGGCGGTTCAGCGGTTGGGGGTGTATGTCGTTTGTCCGACCTTCTTTTGTACGACTAGAAGTAAAATCAACACTTTAAAGAAAATTTCAGCGAAAGAGGGCACCCCGGCGAACCGGCCCTCTTCCCCGCTGGCTTGGTGAGCCAGTGGTTCCCCCATCTCATCACAGGAGCAACCTCAGAGTTAAACCGCAGTGGCCCCGTCATTGGTCACGTCATCTGTGATGTGGAGGAGTCCTCTCATAGTAGGCCAGGCTGCCACCTTTCCCAGTAGTCGGGTTTCGTTCCCGGCCCCCTTCCCACTCAGGGGCCATGCTACTGGTACTCAGGAGTCTGCGTCACCCTGCCCAGCAGCGGAACCACTGGGCTATGAGAGGCACACTGAACGCCGGCCGATTTGGTATACTTGAACCGCCTTCTTGCGATGCAAGCTTGGTCAAAATATACAATTCCGTACGGGGTATCGAACCCCGGTCCCCGCATTCGGGAACCGACGCCTCTGCGCTCTCGGCCACCACGGCCCATGGATGACACTGAGCGAAGGGGACCCTTTGAAGCCGCTGGTCCGAACCGTATAGTCAGACAAAAAGAGCGGGAAGCCGGTATTCGATCGCTCGAGCCGAGTGTTAGGATTCAGACATCTCAACACCTTCGGCCACAGCGGCTCACGGGGTGAGTCGAGTGGCGCAACGGGTCTAAACCGCATCGGTAAAGCCACTCGTAAAATGTAAAGAATTGTAGAGAGTCGAACCCCAGCCCCTGGAGGTGCGGGTCGACGCCTCTGCGCGCTCAGCCGCCGCTGATTCTGGAGAGTGAGTCGCAGGTCCCACTCCTGGCTCCACACTGGCATCCCGAGGAAATCATGATCACGCGGACAAACGGTGAGCACCGAGCGGATGGCGTCGCCCGCGATGCACAGTGTGGTGTGACTTCGCCACGGCGGCGCTCTGCTGGACTCGCCGATATTGTATCCGTTATCTACCTATCCATCCGTGTGGCGCTGAACATTGCCGGACAGTGGCTGGACGCCGCGGGGCGGGGCGGGGCGGGGCGGGGCGGCCCGCTGATGATGGCGCGCCATCTGACCGCACCGCGGGGTGGCGGGGCGTGGCGCACCCGGCCCTCGTGGGGTGGATGGGCGTTTCGTTTTGAGTTTGCGCAATTCTGCAGGCTAATGACTAGCCGCCCCGCCCCGCCCCGCCCCGCCCCGCCCCGCCCCGCGTCCGTGCCTCCACCGCAGGCCTCACCCTCCGCTCCTACCTAGCCAGGCGCGCGCGGTCTTTGCACCGAGCCACCCCTGGGGACCAAGGGGACGGGCACGGTGAGCTTTGGCTTGCGTAAACATCCCCCTCGCCGGCCCGCCCTGCCGGCGTCCCCGATGACCCCCTCTCCCCTCCCCCTGCCCCTCCTCTGCTGCTCGCCGCGCACCACCGCGAAACCGAAACGACGCGCGAAGCGTCGCGCCCGCACAGCTTCCTCGCGGAGAGTACGTACATTGTGTCTGCGGAGTACTGTGCGGGTAGCATTGTGGTTTTCCCTCCCTCCTCTCTCCCAGTCCGCACCCCTTTCCGTCTCGGCCGGGGTTGTTGACACACGCCCATGAATGAGCGCATAACAACATCCTGGACAGCCCCGCGCAGCCCCGCGTAGCCCCGTCGGCCCGAGAATGGCGCGGGGCGGGGCGGGGCGGGGCGGGGTTGGGGAAGTTGGGGTGCAGCGCGGAACAAAAAGTCGCCCGGCTCGCTCACTTTTTGTTTGTTTTCAGAACAAACAGATACCGCGTCCCGCGCGGATATGAAACGCCAGCGAATTGCGGAACCGCAGCGAGCGGCGCGTCGTGGCGGCCAGTCCCTTGCGCCAGTCCAGTCCGCTCCCCGGCATGAAAGGGCCGAGCCGAGCGGCGCGCCCGGCGCCAGATGAATCTAATTTCTGTAA